TTCAGCTTGCAAGCATTCTCTATAACAAAGGCTTTTCTATATCTATAATTCATACAAACTTCAACTCTCTAAACTCTTCTAACTACCCTCACTTTTCTTTCCATTCAATCCCCGATGGCTTGTCGCAAAGTGAAGCCTCCTTTGCGGATATAGTATCTCTTCTTTCACTCCTCAATGTTAAGTGTGCGGCGCCATTTCAGGATTGTTTGGCTAAGTTGCTGTCAAATATTGTTGAGGGGGAAAGTATTGCTTGCTTAATCACGGATGCCGGCTGGTACTTCACCCAAGCTGTTGCTCAAAGCCTTAAGATCCCAAGACTAGTGTTACGGACAAATAGCGTCTCTTTCTTTCTTGTTTTTGCTGCCTTTCCACTTCTACGGGAAAAGGGTTATATGCCCGCAGAAGGTGAAAACTTTTGTTTCTATCCCTATTTGTTCTCTTTTTGTTACTATTTCTTCCAGGGTAAGCTGTAGCTTGATTGATATATACTTGAAACTACATGCAGTACAGTAGAAATGATGGTTGTGTCGTTCTTCTTTCTAGTATGCAATCAAGAATTAATATTCCATTGAAGCTCGAAAGAGATTTAGGTACAATCTTTGAAGTGATTTATTTCTTATTTCTGCTTTTCTGCATCTTTTTATCCCTCAGGTTGTGAACCGGATGCACCAGTGCCAGAGCTCCCACCCCTAAGAGTCAAAGATATTCCAGTGTTCGAAACACGTATTCCCGAGACTCTTCACCAAGTGGTATTAGGCATGACTAATCAGACCAAGGTCTCTTCAGGATGCATATGGAACTCTTTTCAGGACCTTGAACAAATTTCTCTGGCAACATTACACAAGGAATTTCCAATCCCAATGTTCCCAGTAGGTCCATTGCACAAGTACTTTCCTGCTTCCTCAAGCAGCTTGCTATCACAGGACCAAAGCTCCATTCCCTGGTTAGACAAGCAACCGCCTAAATCCGTAATTTACGTGAGCTTTGGAAGCATTGCTGCTATTAACGAGACTGAACTGTTGGAGATAGCCTGGGGATTAGCCAATTGCAGGTTGCCCTTCTTGTGGGTGGTTCGACCAGGATTAGTCCGCGGAGCTGAATGGATTGAACCATTGCCAAAAGGGTTCCTAGAAATGCTGGATGGAAGGGGGCATATTGTGAAATGGGCTCCCCAACAAGAAGTTCTAGCTCATCCTGCGACAGGAGTTTTTTGGACTCATAATGGCTGGAACTCCACATTGGAGAGTATATGTGAAGCTGTCCCCATGATTTGCCAACCTTGTTTTGGTGACCAAATGGTGAATGCAAGATATGTTAGTCACGTTTGGAAAGTTGGGTTGCACCTGGAGAGGAAGCTGGAGAGAGGGGAGATAGAAAAGGCAATTAGAACAGTAATGCTGGAAGCAGAGGGCCAGGAAATGAGAGAAAGAATTGTGTATTTGAAGGAGAAAGTTGATCTTTGTCTAAAGCAAGGAGGGTCTTCATATCAATCTCTAGAAAACTTGATCAATTACATATTGTCATTCTAGGCATTCCAAACTTATTTAGATAACATACTCCAGATTCAATTTAGTGAACTCTTGTTCTTATATACTTTAAAGGACTTAGCATGTTCTGGAGTTCAACATTAGGTGATATCTATATGTAATTGCCATATCATTGTTTCTGGCTTAAGTAAAAACTGGTTTCTGAAATGATGAACTTTTAGAACTGAATTTTCACTTACTAGATAAGATAAAGACATTTGGTTTTCATATATAATTGAACCCGGGAAACTATAGGCTAAAGCATGATAATGATGTGCTTGTATTATCACAAGACAAAGAACCATTCTTCTTCCAGCTCCACTGAATGAATGTCGATTTCATTATCAAGAAATTGGTACTTTCAAATCTCCTATTGGGTAAGAGTTGCGTCTCTTACTATTAAGTTAATTTAGGAAAAAGACTATATACATAGAGAGCAAGTTGTGCATGTACTTGATGCAAACTGAAATTATATGAAAATAGATAAAATATCTTGCCTTGGGAATTGGCAAAGATATTATCTCCAACTACCATTCCATTATTGTGACAAGTTAGTTGCATTGCTGCACATAATTCAAAGAGAAACAACGTTTTCCCACCCAAGGTTTGCCTTAATAACACTTTTCTACAAAAAAATTTTTGAAATACCACTTTTCAACCCAAAGTTTATATCCCGTTAATACCTAAAATACATTTTACTTTTTTAACTGGCGTTCGACGAGTTACCAAGAGCCAGGGTAAGAGGGGATTTGTAGAGTGGAAGCCGGTGAATTGAATGGTGGTGACCGATTGAATATTCACTATCGAAATCAACTGAAAATCGACTAAGAATAAGAAACCCTAGCTTTGCAATGATTGATAATAGGCAAGAAATCAGGTACTAGAGTAAGAGGGGTTTTGTAAAGAGGAGATTAGATGTTCAAATGATGGTGATGGAGAGAATTTTAGCCGTCAGAATTGACTGGAATCAGCTTTGGGTAGTAGCGAAATATGAACCTTGAGTGCGAAAATGGTATATTGAAACTTTTTGTGTGGAAGAGGTCATTAAGGCAAACCTTGGGTGGGAAAAAGTCCTTTACTCTAATCCAAATGGTACAAGATCTAGTCACCTACATTATTTATAATTCATAAGGTGTCAAACCTGTGATCTCCAAACCCTAAAATGAGATGTAACTCTTATTCAATTGTATGATATATATATTTTTTTTTAATTTTCAATGGTTAATCTCAATCTCAATCCTAATTTATATATATTTTTTTTTATAAAAATCCAGATAATCAATATCCGTAGGTTTTCAACTCTGTGGGAAAATAATAAGAGTGGTGTTATTTAAGCCTCTTGAATCTCTTTATAAGCCCCAATAATATTTANCAAAATAACTCTAGTTCTTTATAATATTTTGATGATCTTAGAGGATCCAGAGCTAATCTACCAGAATACTAAATTGTTATTTTAGTTTATGATGTATTTTATTTTAATTTTAGTGTTTTTAAATTAGTGTTAATTTTTATTTTGAGTTATTGTAGTTTAATATTTGTATTGAATAAAGTTTTGTTTTTAATTTTTCATCATTTTTTGAATTATATAATTATTATAAATATTTATATAAATAATAATCAAATTAACTTAAATACAAATAACAAAAAATAAAAAAATATTTTTGTTACTATTTGAACAGTGCCACTCCAAAATTGGTGTGCATAAACAGTATTACACCAAATTTGGCATGACACTGTAGATGGGCACCAAATTGGTGCAAAAATTGGCGCTGGTTTGGAGGTAAGATTCATGCTATTTTGGTGTTTTTACACTAAAATAGCGCTGGGTTGGAGATGCCTTATTGTGACAAGTTAGTTGCATTGCTGCACATAATTCAAAGAGAAACGACTTTTTCCCACCCAAGGTTTGCCTTAATGATGACACTTTTCTACTAAATTTTTTCAAAATACCACTTTTCTACCCAAAGTTTATATCCCATTAATACTTAAAATATACTTTACTTTCTTAACTGGCGTTTGGTGATTTAGTAAGAGCCAGGGTAAGAGGGGATTTGTAAAGTGGAAGCTAGTGAATCGAATGGTGGTGACCTATTGAAAAATTGCCACCGAAAATCAACTAAGAATAAAAAATCCTAGCTTTGCAGTGACTGATAATATGCGAGAAATCAGGTACTAAAGTAAGAGAGGTTTTGTAGAAAAGAGGTAAGATGTTCAAATGGTGGTGATGGAGAGAGTTTTAACCATCAAAATTGACCGGAATTGGCTTTGGGTAGTAGCGAAATATAAACTTTGGGTGCGAAAGTCGTATTTTAAAACTTTTTGGGGGGAAGAGGTTATTCAGGCAAACCTTGGGTGGGAAACAGTTCTTTACTCTAATTCAAATGGTACAAGATCTAGTCACCTACATTATTTATAATTCAAAAGGTGTCAAACCTTTGATCACCAAACCCTAAAATGAGATGTAACTCTTATTCAATTGTATGATAATTTTTTTTTTTTTTTTAAATTTTCAATGGTTAATCTCAATCTCAATCTCAATCCTAATTTATATTTTTTTTTAATAAAAATTCAGATAATCAATATCCTTAGGTTTTCAACTCTGTGGGAAAAGAATAAGAGTGGTGTTATTTAAGCCTCTTGAATCTCTTTATAAGCCCCAATAATATTTAAAATCATTTTAAAAATTGAATTTATAAATATCTTAAATTTCATTTCATAATTGCCCTCCTCTAATATTTTTCCCATCATCCCTATTTTTTTTAATTTCAGTCACCATTTCCATTTTTTTAATAAAACCTCAAGTTCTTTTTTTCTTAGACAACTTATTTCCTATTCAAATTCTTATAAACTTCAATGAGAAATAAGAAAATATCTTTTTACTTGGCATATCAATTTAGCGTGAGATGAATGTTAAAATATTTTTTCTTCTTTATCGTTGTCTTGTATATCTAAAACTTAAAGTAGTTTAAATAGGGTTACTTAAACTAAATTTCCTAAATCACACCATAAGCAAGAACGATTAATGAGAATATTCAATATTATTATATTTTCATTGTTCGAATCCATCTTCCACCTCTTCAAAAATATTTTCCTAAATCACACCCTAAGTCACCAGTCTTGTGGCTGTAATATAAGACTTTAACAATTTGGGTGGGTTACCTATATGTTTTTTTTTTTAGTCCTATAAAGTGATCACCTTTCATATTTTTGACTTATTTGATTTATCGGACTTTTAGGGTGTTTAATAAATTTAGTGTTATTTATATTTATATTTATTAAATAACATTTACTCAAGAATAATGCTATGTTAGATAGCCCAGCCCAGCTTAGCTCATCCTACTAACCCACTCCTAGCAAAAACTTGGGCTTCGTGGGCCACCCGATCCGTGTTGAAGATAAAGCTACGCAAAACAATTAACGAACTTTGGTCTTCGTCCGAAAACTTCAAAATTTCTTCTCTAGCCATTGCCAATCTTCATGAAACTCGCGAGACACATAAAGCGTCAATTCACCACCTCTTCAACGAACCCGAAATTAGAGCGAATAAGCAAGAAAATAGTCTCCATCAACTCCGTTAAAGAGCTTCACGCACAGCTCATCAGAACCCGACTCCACAAAGACCCATTTTCTGTATCTCATGTTATCAAATCATACGCTTTATCAGAATCTCCCTCTTATTTACACAAAGCACATTTAGTTTTCAATCAACTTGAACGACCCACATTGTTGGTTTTTAATCATATGATCCGTGGTTTCTCTCAAAGTGACCAGCCGAATAAAGCAATAGATATGTACAATAATATGTATCACCAAGGTTTGGCTGGTGATAATTTGACCTTTATATTTGTATTCAAGGCTTGCGCTCGTGTTAAGGATGTTTTTCATGGTCAGAAGTTCCATGCCCATGCTACGAAACTTGGGGTTGAATCCTATCTCTTTGTTTCGAATGCTTTGATTCACACGTATGCATTATGTGCTGATTTAGGTTTTGCACATAAACTGTTCGATCAGATGTGTAACAGAGATTTGGTTTCGTGGAATTCTTTAATTTGTGGTTATAGTCAGTGCAATAAGTTTGAAGAGGTATTGGGTTTATTTAATTCAATGCAAGAAGCTAATATAAAGGCTGATGCAGTGACAATGGTGAAAGTAATTTTAGCTTGTATTTATTTAGGCAGCTGGTGTACTGCAGATTCTATGGTTAAGTATATTGAGGAAAACAATATAGAGATTGATGTTTACTTGGGAAATACTTTGATAGATATGTACGGACGGCGTGGTCTGGTGGATTTGGCTCGGGAGACTTTTAATCAAATGCGTTATAAAAATGTAGTTTCTTGGAATGCTGTGATCAAGGGTTATGTGAAAGTAATGCGTTTAGTTGAAGCGCAGAAACTTTTTGATATGATGCCTAGAAGGGATGTGATATCTTGGACTTCTATGATCACAGGATACTCTCAAGCTAACCAATTTGCTGAGGCAATTAAGCTTTTCAGGGAAATGATGTTCGCCAAGGTGAAGCCTGATGAAATCACAGTGGCAAGCGTTCTTTCTGCTTGTGCTCATTTGGGCTCACTGGATGTGGGAGAGGCAATTCATGAATATATACAAAGGCATGGTATAAAATCAGATATATATGTGGGGAATTCACTTATTGATATGTATTGCAAATGCGGGGTGGTTGAGAAGGCATTAGTGGTGTTCCATGAAATGAAAAAGAAGGATTCTGTTTCATGGACTTCAGTTATCTCAGGCCTTGCTGTGAATGGTTTTGCTGATTATGCAATTGAGCTTTTCACACAAATGTTGAGAGAAGGTGTGCGGCCAACTCATGGAACTTTTGTTGGGATTTTGCTAGCTTGCTCTCATGCTGGAATGGTCGATGAGGGATTGAAATTTTTTGGAAGTATGAAAACTGTTTATGGACTAACACCAGAAATGAAACACTATGGGTGTGTTGTGGACCTTTTGAGCCGCTCTGGCAATCTAGAGAGAGCTTATGAGTTTATGAAGGCAATGCCAATAGATCCAGATGTTGTAGTATGGAGAATATTGCTGAGTGCTTGTAAGCTTCACGGAAATTTGGTCCTTGCTGAGATTGCTACAAACAAGCTTCTTGAATTGGATCCTTCCAACAGTGGGAATTATATTCTCTTGTCAAATACTTATGCAGGTTCAGATAGATGGGATGATGCTCAAAACATTAGAGAGTTGATGAAGGAGATTGATGTGCTGAAGCCATCTGGTTGGAGTTCCATTGAAGTAAATGGCATCACAACATAATATTAAGGAACTGTGTCTATCTAAACTGAAGAGGAGTTGTTCGACAACTGTAACTGATAATTTAGTGAATGGGCAACAGTCCTGAAAATACTGAAATGAGCTTTACCTTCACATCAACCGGATAGGTATTGGCCCATGGATGATTTGTTTATGGTTTTGTTCCAAAAGTTCAGGAAGTTGGAGGTCAGAAGTCATGTTATTGAAGAACACTTGGGAGTTTTATATTGGAATCCTTGAGAGAATAAATTTTGATAGAGCTGCTCATCCAGCTTGAAAGTAGGATGGTTTTACAATAGATTACTGCTCAAGTGTTGTGATGAATCAGCTCAAGAGTTATATGAGGGGACAGTTCTATTACTTGAAAAGCTGTGACAAAAAAAAGTCTCTTACAATTTCTTCGAGGATTTCTTGGATGGTGAGGGTAACACACCAAAAGCAAGGCACAATGTACATGGTCATGGAATACTAGCAGTTCTTGGGCCAGGGGGCCACATCATATTTTGTCTAGATGCTAAGATATAAATTTTGTGCGTGGATGCCCAAAAAAAGGGTCAGTGATAAGTTCAAGGCCCTTGTCCATTTGAGGTCCTGTTGTTGTGGAGAATAATTTTCTTAATGAGGTCTTCGTTTGGATCATGTGAATGCATTTTAAGCTGAAGAATAACATTTGCAACTACCATAGAAATGCTTTTTACATATGGTAGTGATACCACAACTTTTATAATGAATATCAAATGCCATTTGTAGATTCCTTTTTATAAATTTATGGTTTCATATGAATTGGTGAAGAGTGAAACCATTAATTTTGTGAAGACACCTGGATATTTGTTCCATTTGGTTGGTATGGAGACTATGAAAAAGAAAATAAAACCTGAAATGCTGACAGAAAACTTATCATTTCTTTTTTCAGCTGGCTGGAGAGTGAAAGATGGATTCTTCCTTCAGAGGTTTGAATGCTCCGATTGTTCTCCATGTGCTTGGATGTGAAGATCTTTTTGTGTCTATCAATACTGTTTTCTAGATCTTAGGGAGGCTCGTGAAAATGCAATATTTGCATGGAATGAGGTTATTTGATAGGAAGTAGGCAGCAGTCTTCATTGCGACATGCGATTCTTGCTAATTTGAGAAGAGTATTACTAATGAGATAACTATTGACAAGATTTGAGATGTAAAATTGGGAGCAAAACCATTTCTTCTTTATTGGATTGATGATTTATTGATAAGCAAGCTGCTGTTAGCCTGTTGACAGTCATCATTTATTAATTACTTGGTACATAATATCATTAGTTTCTCTCCCGCTTGAGCTACTTATTTTTACAGATTAAACATGACCTTGATGGCATTGCCACCTTGAGCACTAGTTTCGAAGGCATCTTCTACCTCTTTCTGTGAGAAGCCAAACCGGTGGGTTATCAATGGCTTAACGTCAATCTTGCCCGTTCTCAGAAATTCAAGGCAGAGCGGCCATGTATTCCTATACCGGAATATACCAATTACATCCACCTCCCTATCAACCAATAAAAACCCATAATTACAACTATGCAAATTTCAAATTCTTTTGAAATATATTTCCCACATTCAATCTCTAACAGTTGCAATAGCTCACCTTGCAGCAGCTGGAGTAAGAGGAACAGTCATCTCACTCTTAGCCAGCCCAATGAGGCAAACTTTGCCGCCCGAACGAGTGGCGGCCAAAGCCGTTGACATCGTCTTGTTGAACCCAACACAATCAAAGCTCACATCAATGCCTGAACCCATCGCATTTTGTATCTTTACCACCTCAGCAACCGCATCCTGTAAAATAAAATCAAAACAAAAGTAAAAACAGTATCGTCCATTTAAAGCTCGAGGATTTTCATTTTAGCCTCAAATGCTTTACAATAGAATTAACCTCTTCGAGTGTTGAAACTTGAACAGTTGCATCTGCCCCAAGATTCTCAGCAATGGATAGACGGTGGCCATCAACATCAACAATCACGATTCTAGGGGCACCAAATGCACGAGCAGCCAACAAGGTAACAAGGCCAATCGGTCCTGATCCCATGATCAATACATTAGTTTCAGGACCAACGGTTGCGCGGCGACATGCATGGACCCCAACACTCAGAGGTTCACACATCGCCCCTTCCTCCAAGCTCACATTTTCCGGCAGCTTGAAACATAAGTTTGCTGGATGCACCACCTGGTAGGATGGAAAAACAAACATGTTTTCATTTTCTCAATTTGCTGAAGTATACTGAAATTTATCAATTTGAGAAAGCGAAGACACAAGATCACCTTATGGGCAAGAGAACCATTAGTTGGAGGAGATCCAAAGAACTTCATTTCAGGACAAAGATTGTAGCTACCATTTTTGCAAAGATTGCAACGCCTGCAACTGATACCAGGCTCCAGTGCTACACGATCACCCACCTCTAGGGACTTAACTTCACTGCCAATTTCTTCTATGATACCAGCACATTCATGCCCTATTACCATTGGCTTTTTCACTATGAAATTTGCACATCTCATTGTCTGTTAAACAGCATTGTTATTAAGTAGGCATTAAGTTCTAAAATCGTGCTAATTTTTTTTTTTTTTTTATATAAACAACGAGTTGCAGAATTAAAGAAGAGCATCTAACCTTGAAGTGATGAACATCACTTCCACATATACCAAGAGCTTTAATCCGCACTTTTACATCTTGAGGGCCTAAGACAACACATAATTTATTCAACATGAAAGTAAGACCTCTAACTTAAGACGTCAGTTAAGAAATTTCCCTGTTATTAACTTGAACTGGAATGTGTATCTCTGCATAAAAATTAACAAGAAGAAGAGCAAATTATATACCAAGAGAAGGCAATCGGTATGGCTGAATTTTAAGAGTTTTGATTCCAAGGAGCCAAGCAGCCATGTTCTCCTCTTCTTCATCCCTGCTTATCTTAATTTCATCATCATTATGACCCATCTCTCTCTTTCCTTCTCGCTCTCTCTCTCTGAGTAGTGTTTGTATCTTATTCTCTCAGAAGTGAAGCACTGTAGCTGAGTGGATTCTGATTAAAAAGTCCTCCTTTCCTTTGTCTTGTATGTTTTATGCTTACCCAACAAACGATTTAGTGATCACTTTTAAAAAGGGTCTCCCTCCCACCAATCTTTATGAATTTCGTAGAGTAATATCCTGATTTTTATGTTCAATATCTAGCAGGTATATTGCAATTTAACCGTTAAAAATTAATTTACTGATCAAGTAAATGGATAGACATTGACTATTCATCTTCAAGAAATTAGAGATGGATAGAGACAAAGAAGATAAACTGAGATGGATCAGTTTTTCATAACATCATCTGTTGCTGTTGAAACTTCAAATCAACAAACCATCCTTGTTTTTCCATCTGTGTCCACATACGATGAGTTGTTCGCAGTTGACAGTTACTCTTAGAAAAAACATGGAAGCGTATTATTACAATTACTATAAATATAATATTTTTAATGGATTTACCTTAAAAAATTAATAACAAAAAGATAAAAGTTTATGAGTCAGACAAACACTAAAACCATTAAACCAATCATCTCCACATATATATATGTACAAAATAGTGAGAGCTTATGCCCCACCTAGACATGTCACTATTAAATTTGTAATAATATCCCATAAACTATTCTTCTTCACATTTTTGTAGGATAAAAATTGAAACTTTAAACAAATAATATCCTCCACTATAAATCATCAAACTCTGTGGCTTCAAGATTAAGAGCTTGGTCTCAACACCGTCTCTGGAGAAGCAAAGCAAATATGGGGAAAGGAGGAATGTCACTGGGAGAAATGAAGGATGGAGAAGAGGTGAACATGGCTGCTTGGCTTATGAGTCTCAACACCCTCAAGATTCAACCTTTCAACCTCCCTCCTCTGGGTAATTTTTTATGTTTCTTTCTCTTTTGTTATTTTCTAGTAGTCTCCTCAAGTTTTGTATTGCTACCTTATCACTACTTTTGAGTTTATTTAAGAGTGTTTTTGGCGAATATATTATCTTTGAAACTGATTAAATCTTCGTAAACTTTTAGGACCGTATGATGTCAGAGTTAGAATGAAAGCTGTTGGCATATGTGGAAGTGATGTTCACTATCTCAAGGTCTACATATATCGCTCTTTTATGTCTCTTCTTGAATCTGGTTAAATGAAATCAATATCAATTCATTTTGATTTCTTATATGAGAATTATTTCCTATAACCTCTGTTAAATGGCTTAGGATTTATTAACTATGAGACAAATTCTGTGTCTTGGATTTTTACATGAATTAGACTGGATTCAGTTTTAAGTTTTTGTTTTTTATCCCTTTAAACATATGAAGTCGTATGCAAGACTCAAATCAGATTTCTTTTCATTTTGAGATTCTTAACTGAGAACTCTATGAATATTGTGTATGTTTCAGACCATGAGATGTGCAGATTTTGTTGTGAAAGAGCCTATGGTGATTGGTCATGAGTGTGCTGGGATCATAGAGGAGGTGGGAAGTGAAGTGAAGACTTTAGTGCCCGGTGATCGTGTGGCCCTGGAACCAGGGATCAGCTGCTGGCGATGCAATTTGTGCAAAGAAGGTCGATACAATCTATGTCCTGAGATGAAGTTCTTTGCAACTCCACCGGTTCATGGTTCTCTTGCCAACCAGGTTAACGAAAATGCTACATTTCTAACTATAGTCTGTTGGACTCTGTGCTTTTAGAAATTAACTATTACCTTAAGAATTGTGCATTCAGCAATTAGAAATATGGTAGACAATCATTTGAAAGGTTGTAATGTGTGTATAGTTGTGTCAATATACATAGTCTTCTTCAAAACATACTGGTCAGTTCAATTGTGTTACTCTAATTTGACCTTTAGCAAAGGTAGCATAGTTTTTGACAAATTTGGGATTGATCCTGTGGAGTAAAATGTTCTTATGCTTCTGTATATAGTCGTGTTAACTGCAGGGTGTATAGGCTCTAGGTGATGTGCGATTTTGTAGGACATTCATGTTGGCAAGGCTATAAGGTAAAGACAGTAGCCTTTGCATTCTGCATATGGGTTCTATGTGATGACTATTCTGTTCATTTCTGGCTTATTGTACGCATAGCTCTGATTATTGATTTCATTTGTTTAAATGCTATCTCTTTTTTGTGCTTTGTTTCATTCTTCTTTGATACCTACAGTAGAGATCAGAGTTATTTGGCCTGGGTGTGATCAAATTGTTTCTTTTTGACAAACTAGAGGCTACTTTTAAGATGCATTCTTGTGCATAACAGGTGGTGCATCCTGCAGACTTATGTTTTAAACTGCCTGAAAATGTGAGTTTGGAGGAAGGGGCTATGTGTGAGCCCTTAAGTGTTGGTGTCCATGCTTGCCGCCGAGCTAATATTGGTCCAGAGACAAATGTATTGATCATGGGAGCAGGGCCCATAGGGCTTGTCACGCTGCTAGCAGCTCGTGCTTTTGGAGCTCCAAGAATTGTCATTGTGGACGTGGATAACTATCGTTTATCTGTTGCCAAGGATCTTGGTGCAGATGATATTGTCAAAGTTTCAATAAATTTGCAGGTATGCAAGTACTCATATCGCTTCACTAAAGTTCCAACAAATAAGTAGCATAACGGTTATGATCTTTCTTGAGGAATTATATTGCTATGTTTTAACTCAAGTATTTTGCAGGATGTAGCTGAAGAAGTGGCACAGATACATAAAGCTATGGGGAGAGTGGATGTGAGCTTTGATTGTGCAGGCTTTAACAAAACCATGTCAACAGCTTTGAGTGCCACTCATGCGGGCGGCAAAGTGTGCCTCGTGGGGATGGGCCATCTTGAGATGACCGTTCCACTAACTCCAGCAGCTGCAAGGTACTTTATTTAATGTTTAAATTACATTTGACAATATTTTAGTTATTCTGCTTTTAAAGTCAGTTGAGTCTTCTGTGAAACGCAGGGAGGTCGACGTGATCGGGATCTTTCGATACAAGAATACATGGCCACTGTGTTTGGAGTTCATAAGAAGTGGTAAAATCGACGTTAAGCCACTGATAACACATAGGTTTGGGTTCTCTCAGAAGGAGGTGGAAGAAGCCTTTGAAACTAGTGCCCGTGGTGGTACTGCCATTAAGGTCATGTTTAATCTGTAAATACTGATATGGCTTAGAGGCCTCAGAGAAGTTCAGTTGCTTTTATGGGAACACTAGAGCCAAATATAGAATAAACTGGGCTCATATCTTTGTTGCTTTCTGTTATAAGATAAGCTTTGGAAGTTCTGTAATTTTCTTGTTTCTCAATGTTTGTACTTTGTATTGCACGTATCTCTTCACAGATTATGTACATGTAGATATAGGGTCTGTATTTGATAGAGACAATCTCAACCGTTTCTTTATTAACATAAGATAATTTCATGTCATGTCATTCAAATCGACTCTCTGACTAACGACCAAATAGCATTTTGATTGACATATGATAAATTAATAAAGCACAATGGACTTTATCTAACTGATCAAAGGATCAGAAAGGAAAACAGAAGAGCAATATTTACGTTTATAATAAATAGATGAAGACAAAGAAGATCCTAACCTCCAGCTGATCTTAAAATGGTAAGGAGTTGGCAAAATATGAATACCAAAANCAAATCGACTCTCTGACTAACGACCAAATATCATTTTGATTGACATATGATAAATTAATAAAGCACAATGGACTTTATCTAACTGATCAAAGGATCAGAAAGGAAAACAGAAGAGCAATATTTACGTTTATAATAAATAGATGAAGACAAAGAAGATCCTAACCTCCAGCTGATCTTAAAATGGTAAGGAGTTGGCAAAATATGAATACCAAAATATAATAACTCAAAATTATTGTCTCCATTGAGTTATCGTATACATAACAAATTGTTACATACAGGTGATGATGATCACTCGAGGAAGCCATCTGAAAATTCAAGGCGTCTCTCAGCAAAAAACCACTCGAATTTTGAAACAATGCACATTTGATGAAAGGCCGGAAATGCTATCCGTAAGAAGTTCTCCATATGTAGAGTTCTGGTAGTGTTACAACTTATAACAGCTACTTAAAAAATAATGACACAGTAGTAAGGTGATGAGGGGTCTGTTCTGTTGTTGCTTCTAAATACCTACAGCTAGGACGACATGAATGACATCTCAACTTATAATTACTACCGCAAACTTACATATCAGAAGAAACCCAACATATAAAATAAAATAATGAAGATTAAAAATACATGACCACAAATATAATGTCGCAGGTCATCAAGACGTGGCAGCTGGTCCATTGCACCATTGCCACACTTTCACTTGACCAGTTCCATCACCAGTAAAAAACAGACCACCAGGACCCAGTTGAATGGATCGAATCTCCTGCTTGGCAAAAATTTTACCCCTTTCAGAGAACCTAGACCAGAATACAATAAAGATAACTGTTAAGATGAGCAGCAATTTTGCGGGGTAATGATTTGAAAGATGGAAGGGGAGGACCGGAATTCAGAAAAAAATAACAAAGTGCTAAATAGAAAACTCACGATGGCAAATCATAGAGGCGAACAGAGTTATCATTGCAAGAGCACAGCAAGACTGGCTTGCCTTCCGAATCAGGCATTCCACACATAGTAAGCACCCCCTGCACCAGGCAATTAATAATCATCAACTAATAGCACTATAAATATTCCTGAATTTTCCCTGGAACAGTTTTTTAAAGAGAAAAAAAGAGAAGGAATTAACAAGTATCATCATATGAAAAGATGTAAAGATGTAAGTGCAAACCATTCATAGTTAATTCATACATTAAGAAGGAAAAAAAACAAATGGGTGATGGTGTTTTCTTTACAGACAAGTACCGCCAGAGACCAAAATAGCATGCTTTCACATTATAACTGAGCTTAATTTTCCAAATGAAGAGCTTACTCCTAGGTGCACCCAGGAGCAATACAATACACGCAACACAAATAACTTCTCTCTGTCACTTTCATCATTCAGACCACATAAGAACAAAACAGGTTAGTAGATAGCACATCAAGGCCTACAACTACCAAAGTATCACAAGCTCAATGTACATCAACTCCTTGAAAATTATGAATTCATGAACACCTATAATCCATCACTAGCAGAGACCAAGACCCATGTCTTGCTGCTTCCTTTCCACAATTAGCAGCCGACGACCCCATAAAGATCAAAAAGTTCTGCCTCTAAATGGAACTTCAAACACCTATCCCATGTTTCAGGCTAAATATATTTTCGAAAAGAACCATCCTAACAATTTGTCACTCTTCTCAATATATGAAATACTCTTCTTTTAAGAAAAATCAGAAAGGATATAATACATACATATTTCAAATTAGAGAAATCTCCGGATATAAGGATGTAGAGAGAAATTAATCCCAACCTTACATCATACTTGTCCCTATCCTGCTGAGCAGGATTCAAACCTAAAATCTACCGAAACCACAGTATCACCTGAGCCAAGGCCCAGAGCCAAGTTCTTTCACACATCCCTGTCAATAAATGCCTCAACTTATTATGCCCAACAAATTTTCCAACATCTAAATCAATCCATGCTTTAACTTGATAATGCACACACTACAACTGTACAAATAAAGGTTCTATATGAGAACTTCATAAATGAAATCAATTGCAGAAATCAAATAAAATTACAAAATCAAGTTATGTGGATTCCGTACAATAGGAAAATCTGGATTGCTAACTAATACAACCCTCATGTGCACAGAGTAAACATGTAGAGCAAATTTGCAGAACGTTGCAACCAATCTCGTAATATCAGGTGTCATGGGCATAGGAAAAGTGCAATAAAATCTTTTTATACATCTTTAAATAATCAAAATTCCACCTCTGCTCTTTTATTATTTGATCAAGCAGACTCCAATGAGCATGACTAAATATTTAAGAATTCCAAGAGAGTTTACTCAATAACATCAATATGAGATTTGGGTTCAAGGCTACACAGCTAAATTCACGGACACGACCAAAAGTCCACTTTAGATTTTGACTTTATCATAATTAAAATACAAAAGCCGGTATGCATAACACAGGAAAACCAGATTTGGAGAAAGTAACATACATGTTCTTCATTGTGAGTAAACGTTACTTCCAGGTTTCCACTTTCTGTAGCAACCCAAACCTACACCAAAGAAATAAATTAAAATTGGTACAATCTATGACTCGTGCCAAAAGAAAAAAGAACAAAATGAGTATTGTAATGGCACAAACCTTTATTGTTTTGTCCAATGAACATGATAAGAGAAACTGATCCCAACAAAGAAGGGACATCACAACTGAAGTATGCTCAGTTAAAGTTTGTATGCACTGTAAAGTTTCAAGACTCCAGACCTGAAAGAAACCACAATAAAACATGATAAACAAGAGAGAATGAATAGCATATCAAAAACTACTATTATGGCGCTTTGGAGAATCACCAAAGTTTATCCACTAAAAAGAGTAGACAATTACAGAAAAATTCACATGATGGTAAAACCAACTTACTCGTATAGAATTGTCCATAGAACCGGAGTAAAGTCTATTAGCTCCAACCACTAAAGAAACAACAGCAAGATTGTGACTTTTAAGTGATGCTGCCGGGTCAAAGCCGTTGGTGGCAGCATTAAATTTCCATGCCAATATAGACCCATCCTGCACCAAGGGATTTTTATTTGAAAACAATTAATATATGCTGATTTCCCAAAAGGGAGAGATGAAGCAAACACATCCACTTATGCAAGGGCCTTTGTAGTGCACTACCTTTTCTCTAAAGGGAACAGAAAATACTTGTATGACTGGAAAGGATTTTCAAGGATGAAAAAAAGCATTCAACATATAAGCCAAAAATACAATAAAAAATGGTTGCATCAAATTTTACATAGTACATATCATAGCAATTACAAATCCTTTTAAAAATTGTAGAAACATTGAATATCACAATTTTCCTCCCTCAAACATACAGTGGATCATTCAAACACGTCTGCTCCACCTCATAAAACAAATTAACAGAAGCCCAAAAAAAGATATTTGCCAAGATGGGAGTAAGTAAAGTAAAATGAGATTCAGAGAAAACAGAAACAAGAATAATCTACTTTAGCTAGGAATAATCTACTTTTAAAAGAAATTATTACCTGTGTACCAGCCAAGAGCAAATCATTGCCCACAGCTATAGCATAAACTTGTCCTACAGGTCCACTAAGACTGAGGTCAGCATTAGTTTGGGTATTCCATGCCTGCAGTGACAGCGCAAGTCCCAAGAAGGAAAGTATCATTCAGTAGCACTACCTTAAGCTTGCCTTGTAAATTTTACATTAAAAAACAAAAAAAAAAGCATTTACCTTGACAATATTTGGTAGACCCACAAAAATCCAAGGACCTTCATTAATCATACAACCAACTTCACCACCAAGATTAACCACACCCATACACTACACAGAAAACATCAGCATCAGTTCTCTTACCACCAAATATTTTGTAAATCGATGAATTAAGAAATTCTTCTTTTTACCAAGAAGTCAAAAACCAATCAATCAGAAGAAGAACAAACCTGGCCAGACGCACAATCCCAAACCCTCACAGTCTCATCTTGACTTCCGGAATAAAGTTTATCGGATCCCGATGGCAATGCAATCCCACTCACAACCTGTTCAAATCAATAAACCCATTAATTCAATCAATAAAAAACCACCCAAAATCAGCAAAATTAAAAAAAAAAAAAAAAGATCTTAAATATAATAAAAGTGTACCTTCTGGTGGCCTTCAAGCTGCGTCAACAAGCTAAAACCCTCACCCAAAAACCAGGAATGCAAAAACTTACACTTCTCTCCATATCCACACTTCCCTCCAACCCAATAAGTACATACTTTCTCCATCTTCCTCACCGGCCGACTATTATTCCCAACCCTACCCCATGACGAATTCGCAAACCTCTTCGTGGTGGTTCCGTTGGCCGGCCCCGTCGTCTGCGGCGGAAGCGGCAATTCTCTGTGCAAGAACGGACATGGAAATCGGTTACACTTTCCCGCCCGCCAATGGAAACAAACTTTCTGCTTTGTGTCGGTCGTTGAAGGCCCAACTCCCAAGCGCTGGAATACGCGCTTGTTCCCTCCGTGCGCGTCTAAATCCATAACCAATTATTAACGGCAGAAATACGAATAGTTCCGTACAATCACAAACTTGCTCGAATCTGACACTTGCCCGATTGAACCCAATCTGATCATAACAAAAACCCTAATGGTAGTGATAATGAAAATCTTTCAATCGTAATTTCGTATATCGTTTTAATTAAAATTTGTTAAAGTAAAAAACCCTAATCTAATAATATAAGTGTTTGAATTCGATTGAGGGGAGTGTGTATGTAATTAATACGTCTTTCTCAGAGCTCTATGTGGAAAGTAGAATTGAAGTAAGAGAAGGAGAAGGGGTTGGGGTTGGGGCAGATCGCATCAGCTGTATAAATTAAGATACAGATGAATTGGGAGTTTACGATATTACCATCCAAGAAGGTAAGAAGATATTGAACGCACGTGCTGTTAATGGTTCGTCAGTGCTGATTTTGATTGTGGAACGGATAGGTTAATTAATAATATACCCAATATTTTTATTATAAAAATACTTATTAAAAAATGTATAAATTAATTTTTATAATAAAATGCTTTTAAACAAAAATTTGAAAGAAAACATTCCAAGTTGGCAAGTTCTTTATAATCTTCAATACCTTTTTATATTTTATATAAGTCCTATAAACTGATATAAAAAATAATTACTAGTGTGTTTAGCATTTATGATTTATGATTTAATATTTTTTACTTTTTTATCATATGATATCTATTTTTAAATGCCAAAAATATATATATATATATATATTGTATACTAAGTTAATCGTTCCACTCTTAAACATTGAAATTAGATATATTTATTAAAGTAATAAATTTCATAAGTATATATTTGTATATATTATAAAAGGAAGCAATAGTATTTGTGTGGATTGTATCTAGTTTAATTTCATTTTCTAAAGGAAATATTTCAAAACTCCGAGCATTAATCAAACAATATAATTTGTAAATACAAACAAGAGTGAATAATAGAAGATGGCAAACCACTACTGGCACTACTTGGGTGACCCAGTGGTCAACTAGGACTCTTGAGTATAGATATTCGGTTCCGAGTACCCTACACCTTTTGAAGGAACCGGAACTAACAGTTCCTTGAAATTTGAAACCACAATCAGAACCGGCGGTTCCGGTTCCAGTTCTGGGTACCCTATAAAATTACATGACCCCCCCAAAAGTTTTTAAAATGGCAAAAAACTCTTAAAAACTTACAAATACCCCCCCACCTGGCACTTGTTAATGAAAATAAAATTGCAAATTATAAATTCAAAATTACAAACTCCATTACTTTGTAAAGGTAGATTCTCAAAATCAAACCAACTTATTTTAAATGTTATGAAATATAAATATAATTATTCACATTACTTTTTCTATAAAGTTTTATTAACCCCATAATATTTAACTTAATTTTATATTATTCTCGATTCTTGGTTCTGGTTCCGGTTCCGATTCCTAACTATAGGAACGGGAATCGAAACCGCACAGTAACGATTCTAAAAATTTGGAACCGGAACCTACCCATTGACGATTGTTTATGGGTAGGAACCGAAACCAAACCCCGGGTTCCCCACCGGTTCTTTTGAACACCCCTACTTGAGTGTATTACTTAAGAGGTTTTGAGTTCGATCCACATAAGTTGCTAATAGAGATTTACCTGATAACCTGACTATCAACTTCAAGGCTCAGAGATTAGTTGAGGTACACGTAAACTAACTTGGACACCCCCATCATCCCAAAAACAAAAAAGAAGAAGAAGAAGCCACTGTGAGACTAAAGCACTAAGAAATAGAAGCCCTCTCACACGGAAGTTGTTTTGTTAAAGCCTTTTGTGTATTAGTTTTACTGTTAACAAAAACAATTTATGCTTAAACTTTCTACAAGTTTTATTAAAAGAAAAAGGACAAGTATAAATTTAATACCATAATTTGGTTAATCAAAGTAAAAACAACAAGGACTATAATTTTGAAAACCGAACTGGGCCTTGACCAGTCAAGGGCTCGAACGATTTAACCGGTGACCAGGTGATCGACAACATCAGCTTTCCAAATTTTTTTAAAATTTTGCAAATTGGTCTTTTAAATTTAGTATTTAAAAATACCCCTTAAATTAAATTATCCCCAAAAATTCATATATTTATGCCCAAAAATTTATTAGTCCTTAATATTAAATATTGCAAAAACAGCCCTGTAAAATTATATTAACCCCTATTTTTTAAATATAACAATACCCCCCTAGACCCTCAACCTCGGAGAGACTGCAGGCCGGTCCGTCCGGTTTTCAAAACATTGGGCCGACATCAAAGTGGGTGCTTAATACATATTAGTTTTGAGAATTTGATTCAAAATTGATTATTTTTCTAGAATGGAAATCGGATTAAAGAAGCTGTTCACTGGAAAAGAAGAGTTATGAAACAAGATGTGTTTAAGCAAAATATATGTTAGTAATAATTTTTTATTAAAAGGGGTGTAAAGAGGGTTTTAGGTGTGCAAATGAGCCACCTGCCTAGTATCAATCAACCTTGTTATACAAACGAACATTTTGTCCTCTTACTGGTGCTTGTATTACTATTATGTGTACTGAACCAAAACTTTGGATAGCAGATTTAAGAGTGCAATACCTAACTACAAAATAATTAACTAAATTTTACTTCAAAATTTGAGGGCAATCACAGGTCATTCTGGGAATTTGACTTTCAGCCTGACCATCCTATAGGACGTACTTTCAATACAGCTTCCCAATACTTGAAAATCACAAAACCTATAATTTGGTGTGACATATGTAATCCTTAATATCAATCTTCATACAAGCTCCAATCTCTAAAATCAATGTTAAATTAGCAACTTAAGACCCCTGACTAGTCCCCACAGCTGCACAACTTAGCACCTTGCAAATTGATCTGGCACTGGCATAACAGCAGGAATCGCATATGACTAAAGCTAAATGAAGACAAGTATTGCTGTTGCATGGATCTGAGAGGTAAACATAAAGAGCACAGAAGATTTATTCCCAAAATGAACCAAACACATTACGAGTCATTGTAAGTCATATTATATTCTAAGTAATTGCATATAAATCATAAATGGCATTTAATAAAGTTCCATTCCCTCCATTAAGTGGGCAGAGGATGAGGCAAGGCAGGGAATGAATGCAGTAAAGCAGGAATTCCATAATCTACTAAAGCAGCCCTTGGATGGAAGTTGAACAAAGAAAACCAGTCAGCAAGCATACTGGGAGAATAAATTACTTAGTCAACACTTTTGCTGTTTTAGATTACAACAACAGCATCACAGATAACATTTCAATCACCAGAATTTTTGCTCCCACAATGTCACTTCCAAGAGAGGATTTCTGAATATAGCTATGAGAATTCTTACAACGATACAAGTAATTGCAACAAGTAAGTAAAACAATAGAGTGTGAAACATCAAGTTAAGGATATATACCTTATGATTATACTAACGACCAACAAGCACAGAAATTTACAAAACAAATTCTCCATGGTATTCTTGCAGACATAAAATGTTGTTGCCCAGAGAAAAGTGACAAAATGGCTTTTCAAGTAATAATTAACTTGCAAGCTTGAAAGCATCGATGAAAGAACCATATGTGAAACCCATCTTAAAGTTATTGAGAAGAGCAAGGGGAAAAGTTACCTTGGCTGGCTGTAATAAAACCTTGTTACATATTCCTCAGGAGAACACCAATACTGCAGCGATCACATCATTGACTCCTAAAGCTCCAAATGACAAGAGATTGTCTTGCTACATAAACACCACCCAACAAGGAGATTCCTCCAAAAAGTGCCCTCCTAGAGGGACTCCGAAAGTAATTCCTCGAGAGCTCCGGCACAACTCTTATAATGTCAATCAGTCGTCGTGGCCCTCCATTCTCCTGCACAGCACGGATGCTAAGAAATCCATTTGAAGATTTGAAACCAAACCGATTTTGCGATGAAAACTCTGGTTGAAGTTGCCCCACCAAATTAAGTAGACTTGTGGTAGAGACAAAACTCATGGAATGTGCCATTTATATTTCCCATCAAAACCGGCTATCAAATCAGCTGTCCTGGACAATGAAACCAAACTAAACTCCCTTTAACCTTAATTAGATTGAAACCTTTTTCACAAAATGCAAAAAATACATCAACCAGAACGAAATAAAAAACATATAAATTGCATTAGTTAGCTGCAAAAGTGATACAAACGCCGCAATCTCGAATAAGTCTTATACTTCAAATTCTTTGGATGAAATTAATTCTGATTAATTACCGTTTATATTTAATTTTTTCCTCATAATCTGAAATACTTTTCACAACAATATTAAGTGACACTAAATCAATGCAACTAGTGAATGTTTCACGCCATTAACAACCCGTCAGAATTGAAACTATAAAGTAAAACCCATCAACTGAATGCTCTAAACTATTCAATCGATTAAAAAGATTCAAGCAAGAAACTACACACAAAATTCCATTCAAAATTGAGGAAAGAAAAAACTTATAATGATAAACGAAACGAAGTTCAAGCATGATACCTACGACTAGAAACCAGCCATTCTTGTATTAGAAGTATGGTTTGCATTGGCGATCACGCAGAGCGATGGCAAATGAATTGCGGAGCGAATCGGGCCGGGCAAAATTTTGTGTGACTTCAAATGTTAGTCTTATCCTCGAAACGGTCCGTTTTGGCTATTTTGTGGGAATGTCAATATCATTTCTTTTCTTTTCCACGAAAAATTTAAAGTTTGAGTGACGTTGGTGAAATATAAATCCCACCCCGTATTTAAGGGGTTGAATATTGAGTAAACAACATATTCCCACCCAAAGTTTGACGAAATCCTAAGTTAGACCATTGGTTCCATTTATTCCTTATTTTCACCTTTAAAGTGACAGAAAAACATTTGATGTTCGATAAAGAGGTAAATTGGTCATTTTAACTGGGTCACGCACGTTAGCAAACCACCACCTCTAACAGTCCTCCGACGCACATTAGCATCTGTTATTCCCGACGTTTTTTGCTCTTTTCTGGTGATTCTTCCACCCAAAATCACCCATTGTCACCACCATTTAACCCTCATCCTCCCCTCTACAAAACCATACCATTCACACCCCTCATCACTCACCGATCTCCGCCATGGCAACGAAAAACAGTTGATGAACACGAATCTCGACCGGCGAATGACAACGAAACGGTTGCTAGGGACATAGGGGTTTTACAGATTTGAGGACGGTGTTGCTTGGTGGTGTCCAATTAGATTTTCACAGTCGGAATTGACCGGAATCCTGTGAAGACACCCAAGCCCTGAGCCTAACGTGCCGGCGATTAGGGGCAAATGAGTCTGGAACCAGAGGGGTTTTGGACACGGACTACGAGGAAGGTGGA